ATATCACTTTAATTTAGGTTATTTCTTAATAGATTAGTGCACGTGCGCATTTTAAACGAGTATGTGAAATGCTCCTAGGCGTTATGTGGATAAATAAACTATTATATTATATATTATTATTATTTCAATTCCCTCTAGCCTATCCACAACTGCACTTTTACATAAATTAATGTCCGATAGCAATGTAAACAAGATTTCAAGTCTCAATATACTAATGAAATAAAATTAATCAGCTTGAGGGTAGATGGCAATCTGCATTACTAAAATAATAGAGAAAACAGTTTCTTACATTCCATGAATGAAATATTATGCAGTTGCAAAAAAAGATGTACTGTATTTTTAATTTTAATTTCAGTTTGGTATGAAAAATGCTGTCAAAAAGCAAGATGGAAGAGTTAGAATAACACTGAGGGAGGCTTTCCTATCTAGATCTGTGTATATTATCTGATTGAATTACTTTAGATATAAATGAAATGATCAAATCAGAGCAAAACAGCTGTGCTTGAGGTTATTCCGGGCGGAAGACCCTTGGAAATAAATTCGGAAAAATTAATTTCCGACCTCGCTGGGAATCGAACCCACAACCTTCGGAATTGTACTACCGATACTCTACCAGCTGAGCTAGAGGTCAGACKATATGCAATACAGTTAGGAGTTAGGATCAATAATTTAAGATCAAATATTTCTGGACATCTTAAAATTGATCTGAGAATTGCAGAATAAAAATAAAATCATTCATATTCATCAGGGCCCTGTTGTACGAAGCCTGGATAGCACTATCCGACAAATAAATCTTATCCAGTGGATAAATTTATTGGAAAACAGCATCCACTTATCCACTGGATAAGGATTTATCTGCAGGATAGCGCTATCCAGGCTTCGTACAACTGGGCCCTGGCCTGATAAGTTGGTCCATGACAAGGGGTTAGGATCAATAATTTAAGAACAAGGTATTTCTGGACATTTTAAAATTGATCTGGGAAGTGCAGGAAAAATATTCATTTTCATCAGGCCTATGTAAGTTGTGTGAAAATCTCTAGATATCCATGACAATTTTATTTTTTATTGTTGACTTAGGGCCAAGTATGTACCAGAAAAATTAGATGATTGATAAGAAGCTTTATTATCATATAGCCCAAAACCCTGGATTCCTTCCAAAACATTCCAGAAGGGTTATAAGTACTTTTATAACATAGCCACAATATGTGAGCCCTTATTGGTTATTTAGCATGCCCGAGCCATCCAAAAATTGATGGTGCATGCTGATGTGATTGAGTAGCTATGTAATATAAACAATTTCATTAAAAATATTGATTTTTTCTTGATTAACAAAGGTTTTTTTAACACTTTTGCTATCTTTTGCTATGTTACAAAAGCATCTTGGTCATTGATTAGTGTGCTTCCATCCAGTTTTGGGTGCACTTGCTCGGTTGCTTATGCACTCAAGAAGCTAGAGTAGCACCTGGCTATGCATTTTGTGCTCACCAGCATCCCATGTGCACCCGATACTTGATGGAACAGCACTAATCAATGACCAATCCTTTATTAAATAATATARCAATTGCAGAAATATCGTGATCAGCTCTGTACATGTGATTGCATATCATTCAAGAAATGATTGCATAGAATTACTGTTCTGACACTCAAACCATGAACACTTCAAGGTTTTTTTAACATTTCTTGAATAATCCAATCAGAAGCCAGATTCTTACAGATGTTCCAAAAATTTTTCGTGCAATTTCAGAGTCTCTTAGGTTGTGGTTGCCATTAAAGTCTTTCAAAATTTACAACATAAAGAGTATATCAATTATTTCATAACAGCTACTTCGTCAACAAAGGATATATTTGTCTTCTTTCTGTAAATTATTGAAAGTTGGCACCTTGTGAGGCAGTCACGCAGTTCATTAGTTCACAAAGAGTTAGCTAAAAATAAAACATCTAAAGATTTTCCCCCATTTGTTGTGGTTGGGTGGCGCTTAAAAAAATGTTCGATTCATTTGTTTCTACAGAGTGATTGGATAGTTATGGAAAAATGTCAAAAAAAACTTGAAGTGCTCATTGTCTGCACTTCATGCGCAATGCCTATAACGTAACAACGCTTCCGGTGGACAGTCTCGATTCCAGTCTGCATATTTTCTTAATTTCTAGGACTTATTACTTACCGAATAGTAGCAGTTTTCCTTGACTTCTACACGAGAGGAAAAACTTTCATTATAGGCCTTGATAGACAAGGTTCTGTCACGTCTATTGAGACTGTTAGTTTGATTGAAATATACAAACTCTACACCGATGATCTGTTGAAATAAATCAGTAAACAAACAATTCATTTTTATCAAGACGGGCTGGAATGAAATGTGAAATTCAGACAATCAAATCCCTAAGAAAATATCTCTAAATCTTTAATAGATACAGAAATCACAGGTACATATGAGTATTTTTAGCACCGCTGGAAGTTACATGTAACGAAAACAAACCTCCCAGTACATAAGTTTGAACAGCGAGAAAAAATAATTTGATAACTTTTCAGCTATAAGGATTCGCTGTAGCAAGGCTTCTAGGTCAGAATTACGATTTCGGCGCGTAAATTTAACGATAACTTTCGATCAATCGATTGTAGTTAAGTGGATTGTCAATGGTGAACAACAAAAAAAATCCGAGCTGTCGTGTTGTTTGTAAACCTCATCCATCAATACCAGGGCACTTTTCCAAAATTTTAACCAAAATATCTCTCCGGATTTAAAGACTTCCAAACCCGTGAATCCTGATTCGAGTTCCTACTGAGCAATAAACAGCACTTAAGCTTTTAAATTCGTACCTTTTTAAGCAAATAAGGGGCATCCACGTCGAGTTTACACCGTCTTTCTATGACATGTTCGGCTCCATCTTCACTCTTGTACTCAGTAACTATGTCACTACCAAGAAACACTGGGATAAGGGGACAGGTGGGAAAACGCTTCTCGTAGGCCTAAGAAAACCATGAACAAACACCGTAATTAAAACATGATACTATATACTTACCCTCGAAGGTTGAAAAGGAAAAATATCTAAATATTATAAAAATTAAAGCAGAGATTTTCGCAAAGCTTGCTTGTTAATGCAAGAGTTTGCGTTTTAACAAATGTGTTTAGCCATATTGATTGAATACAAGACCCACATAAAATCTGTACATGCATAAGGAATATTTATAGGAATAACGGGTTGGATGGTTTCTGAAATTCTATACGATAAATCGAGGTTTAAGATCAAAGTACGTGAAAAATGTCGTCACGTTTTATGAAGTCAAAGCAGGCCCTCCTTGTTCGTCCAAGGTCGACTGGGATAAGACAGGATTTTAAAAGCTTAAATTAACTAACTTTGAAGTATCTTGGAACTGAGATGAACTAGAAGTACAAAAAAACTCAGAAAAGCAACGTAAAGGTTATTTCTTAAGACATATTTAGGAGAACGAGAAGCTAAAGGCTAAAGTTCTCTTACTCACCTCCATAACTATTTCGAAAGGGTATTTGTAAACCCTGACGGGCGACTGGTATTCTTGAACCATTTTGGCAGGATATATTCACAATTCTAATGTAAGAGAACTAATAAAGATAAAAAGAATGTAGACAAATGCAGTTCTTGGGTGCTAAAATGAAGGAAAACGAAGACACATCTTTCACTACTCTAGCACGACCAAGCGAACTCGTATATGACCAGATAATTCCCGTGGGGGGACCTGTACGTCATTTTGACGACGCAATCATTATTTTTATTATTTGACCGGATCTAATGTAAATATTTCATTGCCATATTGACATTAATCTTCTTCAGAAATTGCAGCAATATTCTCAAAAAGAATTTTGGAATCATCCCAATAAAATATTTCGTGGTAAAACCTCAACATTATATAAAATTTCTTATATTTTTTACCCATTTTTGGTCCCTGTTTTTGTGCATATAGATAATATAAATATGAATATCATAACCAGTAATTTATAATATTGAAAAAGAATAATTATTGGCTTAGTAGCAAATTGAAATGAAAACTAGAGATTTTTATTCAAATCTTTCTATTTTCACGATTTGAAATAAATAGTTCGATGCTGGTTTAATGGTATCTGTTGCAAAGAAATAAAATAACATGACTGGTACTCTAGTTTGAAAGTCAAATTTTTTTGCTAATGAAGCTAAAGGGGTGGGTGGACGCTTTCATAATGAGGGGGGTTATATATTGTCCCCTTGAAAAACTTTGTCAAAGCACCCCACCCCTCCCCCCAAAAACATCGTACGGAACAAGATGCACACTTCTGATGAGGATTTTAGTATTTCCATATTTTTCGATTTTCTAGAAAAACTAATGAATAGTGATTTGAAAGGTATGAACATTAACATAAGCTGAATGGTTGATTCATGAGCCGAAACTCCATGGTAACTGTTCATAGCCTCAAGCCAATGAAAAACCGTTGCAACGTTCTGGTTGGACGAGGTAATTGACCATTCATTTCCAATATTTGTTTCGCGTCTAATTTCACATTTCTATCGATCATGAAAATCCGCATTCCTCTTTGCTTACCTTCTCAATTATTCCTTCTTTAATGAAACCATTTCGAAATCGAATGTCATTCCCCCCAATCGAAACTTGAAAACAGAGGTAAACTACTTCAGTCTATTTAGCTGCGCGCGCATACGGTTGTGCATCAGGACCATGCAGTGTTTAGCTGAACCCATCGCACGGTAACAGGCCTATATCACGCTAGAGTGACATATATTACGAATTATTTATTGGGAAAAGGAGTTTATTGTCGCATTTGTCACATTGATAATAGTAAAATTGCAAAGTTTTGTAAAGATTGCCTTTTATACTGACGAAGATATACATTTTTGAAACTTTTTTTGCAAAGAATCCTCGTTAAACTGAAGAGCAAATGTTGGTCGTATAACCACTTCGAGCGCAAAAAAATTTTGTCGTTGCACAAAGTAGAAACTCTATCCACTGTCTGCACGGAGTGGTAAATACGAGCAACTATATTTTTGCGCTCTGCGATTTCCAACGCAATGAAACGCGTCAAGTTACAAGTGCGATCGCGATTTTGTTGCCCGTATGTCGCATGTTTAATAAGCGCAGCGACGCTCTTTTCATTTTTTAGCTCGTGGATGCGCGAAGCGTAGAAATGAGTTATTGTTATAGCTTTGGTTGCGGGGATACGGTGCTTTTTAAAAACATTGATTGCGCATAATCATAATCGAAAAAGTTCTGGAGAGAAAGCTAAATGAGAGAGCAACGAAAAGTAGCCACTTTGAACTTTAAAGACATTGTAACCCAAGAGAATGAATTTCCGTGTGTAGACGAAATCAGTGTATTCTTCGTTTGCAATAGACGTCATAGCCGCCATGTTGGAAGAATTTGACAAAAGATTTTTCAATGAATTCTTTTGTTATATCTTCCAACATGGCAGACATCCCTTTTGTTATTGTGCTCTCTTGGGATTGATTGCAAACCAAGAATACCGTACTTAATTTCCTCAGAATTTGGGCCTAGAGCGGAAGAGCGCTGAGAACATTTCAGTTCCGGTGCTTTTCAAGAAGCTTGACTTCCGGTCACTTTTGAATGACTCCATTTTTCAATAGATTTCAATACTTTATTATCATAACTCTATCCAAATTTTACAGTAAATAGCAAATAATTCTGCCTGCTATCAAATTTATCTTGAAAGAAACTGAATGTTGGTACGCATTTCTGAATATAATGCCAAAACGAAACTTCAAATTATTGATTGTTAATCTTCAATCCTAACATTCATAATCCAACTTAAAACTAAAACTAATCCGTAGTTTGGAGGAAATATCTATTATCTTAAAATTTATTTGTCTGATTTTGGATGCAATGCTTTTCTTCTTGGAATCTTTTGAAAACTGATTTTTTTAGATGATGTGTCCATGTATAAATGTTAAATATAAGAAACAAAGAAATCATACTCAAGAGAAATACACATGGTCTGTGAAAAAGCATTAGATCCAAGGTACTCGTCTCACTATCATGGTATTAGACTTGGTACCGGCCCCTCTTTTTAAATATTCCACAGGAAAACGATGTCCTGCTGTACAGAAGTTTGAAGGCAAGAATACACTGAACAAACTACGGAGACCAATTTGAATAATTATTGTTCTGGACTGACTAGCGACTGACAAGCCTCGTGTTTACGTGGAAACATAAAAGCGTTTCCACGTGTATGAGAGGCTAGTCAGTTGCTAATCAGTGGAGAACAATAGAGGTTTTGCACAACCACGTGACGGCAGCCATGTTAGATGACAGGAAAAATACAATCGTTTTACATAAGAAAGAACTCAATTCCCGAGAGCAAAGGGATTTTATTGTTCTGCCATCTAACCACAAGCAGTCCAAGCTGTATTATGCGCAAAACCTCTATAGTTATTCAAATTGGTCACAATATTTCGATTAGGTGTATAAGATGTGTACCAAATTTCAAAGAGTGTGAACAGATGTATTGACCTTGTACTGCCTTTCTGCAGTGGCACCTTAAGATCTACTCTTGATTAGCTTTAACGGTTGGGTATTTTTTCCCCTCATAATTAATATTCATATCTTCAGATCTTGCTCTCTTGTGTGTCGTCAATATTACTGATGTCAATTCTGTTCTTCTGCTGCTCAGTCAGTTGGATTTTTCGGAAACTTTCATAGTGGATAGAATTGGTGACTTCTTTCAAGTCTTGCATATGTGTCCTAACAAGTAAAAATAAATGATATCATAGTTCATTAATAATAATATAGCTCAATACATGCATGCAGTATGCATGCTCTGATTGGTCGAGAACTGTGCTTTATTAGTGAATTAAACACAGTTGCTGACAATGTTTTGTTTATATTTAATAAAACAAAATGAATCATCTAAAAGAAGAGCATTCTCTGGCTTCCTTGTAAATATTCTGTGAAATAAAAGATGAGTTAATTAGGATACATTCTCTTACCTAATAAGCATATCCCTCAGCTGTGAGAACTCACAATGATTTTTGTTTTCAACTGTAAATAAGAAGATGTGTATGTTATATTTTAAAGAGAGAGCTGCATTTCTTGCAATTGCTCTAAAATATTTACATTGTTTATATTTTCTTCCAGTACAGTTAATCCTAAAAATTATGCATTTTGATTTGCTGTGCAAATGGGCAGCATATTCTATCTCTGGCTGTGGACCAGCATCTTGGGATAGCAGATTGCTAAGCAATGAAAAAAATGCAAAACAAGATAAAAAGTAAAAGTGAAAAAAAGTTATTTATCCTAAAGTTGATCCAGATAGGGAAGAACTGTGCCCCCTTGAAAATGTACCATAGCTGTTAGTATAATCAAGACCTCTGCACTGGCATTAAGTTTTTCTTATCCGGACCTCCTGAGGGGTAAATAACCTTTATATAATCTAAGATAGACCTTCAAATCACCATGGATTTGGTGACCATCATTCAAAAGTGCAGGCAGGACTGAGGCGGCCACAAGATAAAATATACTCCAATTACACGTCCATTTATGCCATCACTGTCTTTATAAAAATATTATACCATACATGTACAGTACCTTGCAATGATTCGCCACCCTGGTCTATATCTTTTTATTAAACAATTTCACAAATACCAGTTTAACTAATCAAAGCATTAACATTTACATTAGCATTATTCCTTACCCTCTATGAGACCCCATTTAGTCTTCCTTCCAAGCACTGATTTGCCAGATACAGTTACAAAACGATCACTTCCAACCACAGCAAATGGTAACTGATCCTAAACAAGTAGCAATAGTAATGGGTATCAAAAACCTGAGCAATGTTTAAGCTAGAGGGTGGCTACTTCAAACATAATTATTATTAGCTACTTTAGCCACCCTACAAATCTACAAACTATGTTATTTTGTCCATCTTTTCTTTTCATTTTGTAAAAACATACAGGTGTATTTAACATTTTTATAATTTATTAATATGATATCATGTGTGATTAAAATCAAAGCTGAAGTTGAAGCCATGATAACAACTTGCTTTTATTAATTACTTTAAACCAGTTCAAAATGCAGTAACTGCACTGAGTAATGAAGATGATCATGACGTTAGGTCTCTCCCTTAATTCAAGCGTTTTTCACCGGGTTCTCTGGTTTTCCTCCCTCCACAAAACACAATAAGCTAAATCCCATTCAAAGTTAGAGCTAAGCCATGCCCTGACTTTGATCAGCACAGCATTCTTTTCAGGATCCAATAAAATTTGATGGTCTTTTTAAGGTTTGAAGGTAATGAAGGTAATGATGATGACAGGTGATGATGAGGGTGATGATGATGAGAATGATGGATGATGATTGAATCAATATCCCTACCCTTATCCTAGAGTTAACTCTAAGTTCTTCTTCATCCAAGTCATCTCGTTTCACCATGGGGTAGATGTTTATCTTGTTGGCTTCAATATCATCACGTATCTAAAATGGAACAAATTATGATTAAATAAAACAACATATAGGTAAGACATGCAAATGGATAAAAAAAAACCCTACTCCTTAATTATTGGATCAACAACACAATGCTCCTTTGCCATTGGATAGAACAATGCTATTTTCTAATTGGCTGTAAGAGTACCCTTTTCTTATTATTAAGCGCCACCCATTTAGCTCAGTTGGAAAGAGGATCAGTTTGTTGTGCGGGAGAACATGGTTCAAACCTTGGCCAGACCAACACTCAGGGTCTTAAAATAACTGAGGAGAAGGGTGCTGCCTTTGTAATTATATCTGCAAATGGTTAGCCCTTCACATGGCTTGGATGACCATGTTAATGGTGGTCCCGTCCCTAATCAACTAGAGGAATTAATAGAGGACCCCAAGATTATCTTTTGAATTACTGTCAAGTGTCTGTCTAACACAAAAAATAAATTTATTTAATTATTATTTATTGATTTAGTTATTGGGTTAGACAATACTCTTTTCCCCACAGGGTCAAATAAATTTTAAGCCCTTATTGGATGAAATCATGAATTAAAAGAAAATAATATCAAATTCAACCTACTCTTCTTCTGAATGCCTCTCTTTCTTCTAGAGTTAAGTTATCTGCCTTAGCTATTACTGGTACAATGTTGACACACTTGTCTAATCTCTTCATGAATTCCACATCTATTGGTCGTAACCTGTGTCCAGTTGGTGCAATGAAGTACAGGCAGCAGTGGACTCTTGTGTCAGGTATGCGGGACTTGCGGCTGATGCTTGTTTCTTCTTCTAAGTATTTGTCGTATTGGTCATTTATGTATTCTAATATGGGGTCCCAGCTAATCATGAAGAAGAAAATATATATCGTTGTACTCCAGAAGTTTTATTCAAGCATTAATTTATTTTTCAAAAAATTATCTTGATGTTCTTTAGATTTATTTTTGTTTTTAATCTATTCTTCCTCTCATCTAATCCTTCCTCCCCTTCCTCCCCTTCCTCCCTCTTCATTCATTATTCATTCATTCATTCATTCATTCAGTTGATCCATTTTTTCCCCTGACTATCCATGTTATTCTAATGTATTTTAGAATTTTAATAACTCTTAGTTGTTATGATTTTAAACTTTTATTAAATTAACTGGAATATTTAAACCAATTTCATGAGTAATGTCATGTTATGTATAAATATGTATGTCAAAAAAATGTATTGATCAATAAAATAGTAATTTTCTAAATTATAATTTTTAATTCTATTATTGAGAATGTTATAGAAAATGTAAAGCGTTGTTGAACGTCTGGATATTGATGCTATATAAAATACCATATTATTATTCCTTCTATCCAACATTTTCATACATATTTCTTCCCTTCTCTACTTAATTATAAAAATCACTTAGCTTAACATAAACCCAAATTTATTTTATGTTGAGCATGCAGAGAGTGATAACCTGTACTCAGTCTCCCAAGCAAGATGCTCATGACTTAAGCACTAGATGCCAGATTGAATTGGAATTTAAATTTTGTAGAGGAACAATATTATAAAATTAATATTATTGACTAACCATTTGTCATTATTGATTTGATCTCCAAACCCAGGCGTATCAGTCAAGGTCAACTTCAGCCTAACACCTTTCTCTTCAATAACTGTAAAAAATATATAACACTTGTACGTTAGACACCGTTCACCACCAGGGAATTGACAAGTATCTTCACCGAAACCTTACCATGACTGACAGACTTGACATCAACTGTCTTAGGGATGGTAGTTGGTATCCCTGTTGCGGATGGACGGCTGAGCTTGCTCTTGAACAGTGTGTTTACCATGGTAGACTTTCCTAACCCTGAGGCACCTGATCATTGATGAAAATATTGAAACATTGTTGATTAGAATTAAGTTACCAAATAATTTCTTATTCAGTCCAAAATCTTTCAAAATATTTTTTATTTCAGTCTTTTGATCAACAGTCATTGAAATATTGCATCACACTCATATGATAATGGTATGATAATAATAATTTATATATGCATAAAAAAACCATTAAAAAAGACTCATTCTCATAACTGACACAGGTGAAAGCCTTAAAAGTAATACTCGTCTGAAATAATCATGCATTAAAAATTCAAAAACAAGTGTAAATTTTAATGTAAATGCATATTGCAGCAACAAGAAAAAGTTTCCATTCCTTGCCTTTGTATTTGTGATTGGGTTGCCGTAATTCATCATAGTAATTTTACTTGCGCTTGCATTTGTTCGTGTGGACCAGGACTTAGTATTTCAAATTTACTGGTATGTTGAAGAATTTAAGTGTGGTATCAAAACTCAAAATCATCAGTACTTACCAACAACCATCAAGTTAAATTCAAATCCTCGTTTGAGTGACTTCTTCCTAATTTGTTCTTGTACTGTATCAAAACCCACATACCCATCCAGGGGTGTTTTGAGTTTCCCCCAGTGTGTCATTGCCTGCATGGTTTCCATCATGATATCTATAAAATTCTGGTATGACAACAACCCTAAAAGCACATATGACAGCAGGGCTTAGAATGATGGCCGATGTTAATGATGACAAATTATGGTTTTCCAGCTTTGCGAATGAATTAAATGATAATAAGAACGGATGCAACATGTTTGTACCAAAGTTTGTGATATTTCATACAATTTCTTCATTTCATTCTAATCACCATACCTTTTTCCGCTTTGCTTTCAGCTTTGCTAGTGATAGTATCTTTTTCATTGTCACTCAACTGAGCGCCAAGTAGCTGTACAGCCAAGGTAGAAATAGTTGCAACATCTACAAATCCTGTTTCTTCTACATCTGCAAACTTGAAAACCTTGGACAGGGCTAAAAAAGGAATTAGGTGAGTATACTCTAGTGTATTTTGCTACTGTTTTCATTGCTAATCGATAAGTGAGACAACAGTTGAGACAAAATTGAGCAATAGACTTAACTGTCAATCAAAGTGTTCGGTACCTTTACATACTATGTTTGACATCACTGAATTGCCTGATTTCCCTGTTGCAACTGTTGTCTCAATCACCACATAGCAATGAAAATAGTGGTAAGAACGTAAACATTGTTTTATTGTCCAGTAAATTGTAATATAAGGAATAGCACAGGAGCACACTAAAGCTTCTTGCAATGAAGTAGAAGGTCCCTAAGTTATTCCAAACTCAGTCTATTCAGAACATTCATCTATAGAATTTAAATTTGAAACTGGAGAATCCTTCCTTCTGTTTGATTCAAAACATCTTATAAAATGTATTTAGAAACAAATCTTTTTCAAAAAGGCTAGTTCAAGGAAGTAATCCATCCCCTGCATGAAAAAAGGGTAAGAATGTACTTGTACAACCCACCAGTTTATTACCATAATTCCCATTCATGGTATACTTTGGTATAAATTATAGTACAATACATTATATACTGGAATAATGATGAATACAGGAAAAACTCAGAAAAATCAATTAAGATTAAGGGTACAATATGATTTTTCCACATCTTATTCAGAAAAATACCAGGATGAAAACTAATAATAATAATTATTGAACAATGAATGGTGAAGTAGAATGAATGAATGAATCCTACTACACCGAACACGCCTAATTTACTACTACAAAGAAAATCTAGTCAATGCTGAATTTCTCTTATATATTTCCATTTATTCCAATCTAGCTAGATTTCCTTGAAACATAAAAATACAGAAAAGATACAGTAAAAAACCTTTTAGAACTGAAAGCATGTGCTACTCTAGAAGTACTTGGCTCTACAAATATGTTTAAGAGCAACCTCAAGAATCTGACAAAGGACTACAATTTCAAATCTAGAATTCTAACTCTAAAACAGAATAAGAATAAAATATATCATAACCGATTTGCTTTTTTATACCTTCTTCATTAATGTCCATGATTTTTATATCAATTTGGTTTGAATCTTCAGAGAAAGGTTGAAGAGAATGATGGTTTACTCTACTCACTGACAGAAGCAAAGGAAATGCCCACAAACAAAGAATGTGAATGCTTGTGCTATTCACTCTTCAACCATAATCAATTCAAAGGCAACAGCTGTGTGTTTCTGGCCACACCCAGACTCTTTATGCTAATCATTACATTAAACTTGAATGACAACTATCATTCAAATCTTAATCCATATTAGTAGGCTTATTTATAGGAGAACCCCTAAAGCTTTATCAGACAATTAGATAATGGAAACTGTCTGGTTCATCATGATTTTTTTTTTTTTTTTTTTTTTTNATGATGATGACAATGATGATTGGTAAAATAGTATAAGTATGTATGTTCAAAACAAAAATGTATTGATCAATAAAATAGTAATTTTCTAAATTATAATTTTTAATTCTATTATTGAGAATGTTATAGAAAATGTAAAGCGTTGTTGAACGTCTGGATATTGATGCTATATAAAATACCATATTATTATTCCTTCTATCCAACATTTTCATACATATTTCTTCCCTTCTCTACTTAATTATAAAAATCACTTAGCTTAACATAAACCCAAATTTATTTTATGTTGAGCATGCAGAGAGTGATAACCTGTACTCAGTCTCCCAAGCAAGATGCTCATGACTTAAGCACTAGATGCCAGATTGAATTGGAATTTAAATTTTGTAGAGGAACAATATTATAAAATTAATATTATTGACTAACCATTTGTCATTATTGATTTGATCTCCAAACCCAGGCGTATCAGTCAAGGTCAACTTCAGCCTAACACCTTTCTCTTCAATAACTGTAAAAAATATATAACACTTGTACGTTAGACACCGTTCACCACCAGGGAATTGACAAGTATCTTCACCGAAACCTTACCATGACTGACAGACTTGACATCAACTGTCTTAGGGATGGTAGTTGGTATCCCTGTTGCGGATGGACGGCTGAGCTTGCTCTTGAACAGTGTGTTTACCATGGTAGACTTTCCTAACCCTGAGGCACCTGATCATTGATGAAAATATTGAAACATTGTTGATTAGAATTAAGTTACCAAATAATTTCTTATTCAGTCCAAAATCTTTCAAAATATTTTTTATTTCAGTCTTTTGATCAACAGTCATTGAAATATTGCATCACACTCATATGATAATGGTATGATAATAATAATTTATATATGCATAAAAAAACCATTAAAAAAGACTCATTCTCATAACTGACACAGGTGAAAGCCTTAAAAGTAATACTCGTCTGAAATAATCATGCATTAAAAATTCAAAAACAAGTGTAAATTTTAATGTAAATGCATATTGCAGCAACAAGAAAAAGTTTCCATTCCTTGCCTTTGTATTTGTGATTGGGTTGCCGTAATTCATCATAGTAATTTTACTTGCGCTTGCATTTGTTCGTGTGGACCAGGACTTAGTATTTCAAATTTACTGGTATGTTGAAGAATTTAAGTGTGGTATCAAAACTCAAAATCATCAGTACTTACCAACAACCATCAAGTTAAATTCAAATCCTCGTTTGAGTGACTTCTTCCTAATTTGTTCTTGTACTGTATCAAAACCCACATACCCATCCAGGGGTGTTTTGAGTTTCCCCCAGTGTGTCATTGCCTGCATGGTTTCCATCATGATATCTATAAAATTCTGGTATGACAACAACCCTAAAAGCACATATGACAGCAGGGCTTAGAATGATGGCCGATGTTAATGATGACAAATTATGGTTTTCCAGCTTTGCGAATGAATTAAATGATAATAAGAACGGATGCAACATGTTTGTACCAAAGTTTGTGATATTTCATACAATTTCTTCATTTCATTCTAATCACCATACCTTTTTCCGCTTTGCTTTCAGCTTTGCTAGTGATAGTATCTTTTTCATTGTCACTCAACTGAGCGCCAAGTAGCTGTACAGCCAAGGTAGAAATAGTTGCAACATCTACAAATCCTGTTTCTTCTACATCTGCAAACTTGAAAACCTTGGACAGGGCTAAAAAAGGAATTAGGTGAGTATACTCTAGTGTATTTTGCTACTGTTTTCATTGCTAATCGATAAGTGAGACAACAGTTGAGACAAAATTGAGCAATAGACTTAACTGTCAATCAAAGTGTTCGGTACCTTTACATACTATGTTTGACATCACTGAATTGCCTGATTTCCCTGTTGCAACTGTTGTCTCAATCACCACATAGCAATGAAAATAGTGGTAAGAACGTAAACATTGTTTTATTGTCCAGTAAATTGTAATATAAGGAATAGCACAGGAGCACACTAAAGCTTCTTGCAATGAAGTAGAAGGTCCCTAAGTTATTCCAAACTCAGTCTATTCAGAACATTCATCTATAGAATTTAAATTTGAAACTGGAGAATCCTTCCTTCTGTTTGATTCAAAACATCTTATAAAATGTATTTAGAAACAAATCTTTTTCAAAAAGGCTAGTTCAAGGAAGTAATCCATCCCCTGCATGAAAAAAGGGTAAGAATGTACTTGTACAACCCACCAGTTTATTACCATAATTCCCATTCATGGTATACTTTGGTATAAATTATAGTACAATACATTATATACTGGAATAATGATGAATACAGGAAAAACTCAGAAAAATCAATTAAGATTAAGGGTACAATATGATTTTTCCACATCTTATTCAGAAAAATACCAGGATGAAAACTAATAATAATAATTATTGAACAATGAATGGTGAAGTAGAATGAATGAATGAATCCTACTACACCGAACACGCCTAATTTACTACTACAAAGAAAATCTAGTCAATGCTGAATTTCTCTTATATATTTCCATTTATTCCAATCTAGCTAGATTTCCTTGAAACATAAAAATACAGAAAAGATACAGTAAAAAACCTTTTAGAACTGAAAGCATGTGCTACTCTAGAAGTACTTGGCTCTACAAATATGTTTAAGAGCAACCTCAAGAATCTGACAAAGGACTACAATTTCAAATCTAGAATTCTAACTCTAAAACAGAATAAGAATAAAATATATCATAACCGATTTGCTTTTTTATACCTTCTTCATTAATGTCCATGATTTTTATATCAATTTGGTTTGAATCTTCAGAGAAAGGTTGAAGAGAATGATGGTTTACTCTACTCACTGACAGAAGCAAAGGAAATGCCCACAAACAAAGAATGTGAATGCTTGTGCTATTCACTCTTCAACCATAATCAATTCAAAGGCAACAGCTGTGTGTTTCTGGCCACACCCAGACTCTTTATGCTAATCATTACATTAAACTTGAATGACAACTATCATTCAAATCTTAATCCATATTAGTAGGCTTATTTATAGGAGAACCCCTAAAGCTTTATCAGACAATTAGATAATGGAAACTGTCTGGTTCATCATGATTTTTTTTTTTTTTTTTTTTTTTGATTTTCCACAACCGTACTATAACATTTTCATCTTAAAAGCATACAATATATGACCCATGTATTATATATTTAAAAGCGTAAAATCTTATCAATCTTTAGCTTATTTATGATTAACAAGACAACATTGAAGATATTTCCTTTTAACTTGACGGATGGGTTTTACCGGAAATGCCTTAAAATGTTGTCAGAGGAAGCAAAGTTTTGGTTTGTGATCAAGTTTCGGAAAATTCCTTTATTTGAAAACCTAAATATGTACTATTTAAGAAAACCTATAGAATATTGTACGCGGCAGTGATTTTGAACAACAAGGAACGGGGTAATTAATTGGGGTAATTAAATCAGAAAGAAAAGCTATCGTAGAGAGAGTTACAAAAGGACCGTAAAAAACACAGACGAGTTTTGAAAGCTGGTATCGGCCATCAACCATGAGGCGAAGCATTAAAATCAAATAAAAAAGTAGTAACAAAAAGTCAACGAGGCTAAACGAACATGCAGTTCAGCCTTCATTTAAGCCGAGTAGATAAACGCCAAAGGATTTAATTTTATATTTCTGTACGTTTAAAAATTTCAAAACACCCAACGAATAAGCCCGTAGCTGTCAAGTGAGTTAACACCAAAATACGAGGCCAAATATCTTACCGTCTCGTTGAGCTCCGGTCAGCATGAAGCGCTAAAATAAAAGTACAAATATAAATTGTTATATATGTTAAATTAGGAATATAAATGTAATCAAATGGAAGCGGAAGAGATCGGAGTTTGAGTCACACTCTCCTCACCTTGTCAGCCATCTTGACTGTCCTCCTATGAGCCCGTGGTCTTCGGGAAGTAGGTCAGTGGTCATCCTATGAATTTTTCCCAAATTTCAATTTTCTAGTATTTCATTATTCAATGATCAGCCCAGAGGTTGTTTCAGGGTATTTGATTTAAAAAATTGAGTAATGCGTTTTAAAAGATACTTAATCTGTTGGATTTCAAGCCCTTGCCATCCAACACATTTGGCCCCATACAAATCAAATAAACTTATAATCGATTCATGTCATTATGAGCTGAAACTTCTTACTAGTATTGAGGCGCTCTTTTCATTTTTGTTGTTTATTTTGAGCAACTTCTTGGTTTAAGAGGAGGATAGATCATTAAACCTCCCTTCCCTAAAAAGCTGAGTTCATGAATATATAGGTAACATAAAATACACCATTTTAAAGAATGTTTAGAACTTTATTGCCTTAATAATTCAAATATATGAGCTTTTTACAAAGGCCTTCATACACTCCTCCATCTGGAATAACAAAGCTTTGTGCATTTTCTTTATTATCGTTCAATTCAAATAAATTAGAATTACTTTCTTGAAGTGAATTTAAAGACCAGATTGCAACATGTCGAGATTTGGGTTGCCTCGCTAGTAAATATATAGTAGAATGTATCATATTGTTTAACAAAAATCTTTGTATCTCAGCTCCTGGTTTCTCAATAACATGTATTGTTGATACATTTTGATCAAAATCAACATTGATGTTTGATCCCTTAAGCTCCAAGCAGTTAACAGCGCTTCCATCAACTGCACATAGAAATCCTGTATAGAAAAAATATTAAACTGAATCAAAATATATAACAAAAGAGAATAATTAAATAATCATTGGCTTGTTATAATATTTCATGACATAGCCACAGTATAATATGAGTTCTAGCTGGTTGGCCCAATTTTGAAGTGTTGATTTTTACAGAGAGAAGAACTGGAAATTACAGAGAAACCCCTTAAATAACCAATTCTTCATTTGCATGTTACATCATCATGGCCATGTTGGTACCATTTAACAAAAGATTTCTCATTAGCATCCATTGTTAACGATACCACAATGGCCGCCATGTTTTTGTCTTTAATTAACTCTCTTGGGAATGCTTGCAACCCATCAATGATAGCACACAAGTATCACATGCACTCCACCAATCCTTTTCAAATTATCTTATAAGAGAAATGGTCAATACTTTTCTATGTGTTTTGCTGCATGTGAATCATATGTTTCCAAAATTCAATGGACTCATTCAAATGATGAACCTTTTCTTAAAATTGAGTCATAAAGTTGATATATTACCTGTCAGTAATGCCCAATGAGATTTGCGTCCTTTCAATAAGCAAGGTTCATGATTGGGAGCAGCATCATAAGGAACCAACAGAGGATTACCACGAAGCAAATGGTCTATTATTCTTTGAATATCATCAAAACTATTCTCTGTCACTAAAGTTTTGAGATCATAAAACTTGTGTGCCAGTGTAGCTAAATTTCTTGCTGAAAACATCTCTCCTTCACTCGTAAAGGAAAGACTTTTAGCAAGGTTGACAATTGCTGTTAGTTCAGATTCATCATTATCATCATCATCATAACGGAGTGTGTTTTTTGAGTAATCAAGATGACTCCTTTTGTCACCTTCCCTTGAAATTCTGGCCATTTCTGCAGCCATACTTAGTGCTACAAGTCCACATCTGAAGAATAAAGAAAATTAATAGTGTCATCATCATCATAGGTAACGACAAAAACCACAGGCAACCCACTCTAAATAAAAGGAGTAAACAAAAAAAAAAAGGTTTTCATAGAGAAACGTCTCGCTGTCTTTTCGACAAGAAACGATTCAGCTAGAATAAGCAGTTTATTTCCTTACCTAGGAGCGCTTCCTTGTAGTTTTGGTCTAACATCAACGTTGAACAAGACCCAGTGATCGTGGGCGATGCCTTCATGTTTTGTAGACTCGAGAGACTGGACTACAATTTTTTTACATTGTTCTTCGATTCCTTTAATCCGCGAGCTTTCTTCGTTTTCTGCAATCATCAATTCTCTTTTTGTTTTAATGTCTTGTTTTGTTGGAGGTGGAGGCACTGCAGGTTCGGGAATTGCTGACATTTTTATTCATTCATTCACACATCAGTCCATCGTGGTCGGCCATATTGAAAATTGACAATGACACAGCAATCCCAACACTCAAGGAGCCAGTTTGCTAATTTGTGGAAGGGTAGGGTAGGGAAGTTAAGTCTATGGACCGTCTAATTCAAATCAGGTCATGGCTAATCCCAGATAAATCTAAAGAATTTTGTTTTCTAAACGGTGTAATTTAACCAAGATCAGTGGCCTGACTAGATCCAAGTTGTGTTCACACTTCTCAAATGACATTGCCATAACTGACTCAGTATACTATTAAAAGAGTTAAAAATCAATTGAAAATGATTAATATTTAATCTCAGTTTTCAACTTAGTCATTGCGGTTTACGACGTGTATATTTTATTTTTTATCACCGCACTAAGAGAAATTAAGGATACACACATTCCCGGCTTTGTTCCCCTCTCCCACCCAATCTCACCCAACAATCATCATCATCATCATAACACTTGGGAACTACTCCCTGCTGTAGAGTCGAAGTATTGGTGCCAGTGATTTTACAACTACGAACCTGGAAAATAGGTTCTAAATATTTTTTTAATAGATTCTAGAGGTTCTTTTCAGTCGTACTATGATTATCATGCATCATCTTGTCATTTGACAGCTAAGAATTACATCGTTAAGTAATCAAGGTCACATTATAGGATGATTTGACTGATTCACGGCGGGAAACATGAACCTATTATCATGAAACAAAATCACTCCGTCTTGAAAAATTTCGCGGCAAAATTATCATACACGGTACTGTGCAGAAGTCCATAACTAGTTATGTGACTAGTGTGGTATGACCATCAAAGACTTGGCCGACATTCATTGCAATTTAAAGCAGCTGGATTCTTCGCCCTGGCCCGCCTTTATTGACCCTTTTTGACTTCAGAATATTATCTCAACTTTAACTCGTCGAATTCTTGGTTTTCGTGTACATTTTTACATTTTCACCATACTGCACTTGTCATTTACTGTAAAGGTCTTTAAAAACAGTTTTATAAAGTTGCATGTCCAATCTCTTCACCAAACAAACTATCGACTACTGTTTAACGAATCACTATCAGTTTATTGCTACTTGAATGTAAATATGACATGTTTATGAAAACTGATCACAGAGCAAGATATGGCATGTGAATATTAATAAAATGAACAAAAACCTACAAATTTGAAGAATGTAGCCATACCGTTATTAGAGTCCATTGCCGTAAGTTGTTTTTAAGATGCATTTAACCTCCATAACATTCGTACATTCAGACCCCTTTCCATCAGAAAGTCTTGATGTAATTTAATTCGGTCGCGACATGTCAGACAGTCCGTAATAGGCATTAGCAAAGCAGCTTTACGTTTTGTCACGCATTGCAGAGCATTCAAGAGGTTTCCCGTCATTATTGTGAGTAAGGACTTAATATAAAGAATTTAAAACATTTGGGCAAAGAATAATCTTGTTTGAAACAACAAGAAGACACACTGAGAAGAGATTTTTTGGATATTTGCATCGTCAGTACAACTCTAAGTCAAGGTAGGTCGAGTATTGTTGTTTTAAAAGTGAGAACTAGATTGAAAATCGATGGAATGGGTACATGTTGATTTAGTTGCGTGATTGTAAAGAATGGCTCTTTGAAAAGTAACTTTTAAAGGTGTCGAAAGTGTGCGAAACTATTTAACCAGAACACTTAGGACGCCAGAAAATCTTTTAAATTTGATATTGATTTCAGATGAAGGAAGTGACCTTTGAGGAATGAGTTAGTTGTTGACTTCAAAATGCATTCCGCTATTCAACTACGAGCTGAAATATAATTTTAAGACAAACGATTGAAACATTAATAGTCATCGATCGTCGATCATTCAATAAAGATTTATCTAATTGGTTGCAAATCCGATTTCTTTGTCGATACTGTAAAGACACGAGATTCAACTCCACAAAGATATAGAATTTAATTAAACAGCTTGAAGTATTGAGAGTTAAAAATCCTACAAAATCTTGTTTATTTAAGGATTACTCGCGTGCATAAATCTATTACTTGCAATTTGTTCAATTAATTGTATGTTCGTTTGTCACGCAGGTTTCTTTCTTGTGAAGAGCTCAAACTGAACAATCTCCCGGTTTAAAGAATTGAGTAAAAAAGGCTTTGAAATCCGTACAAGTTAGGGAACGAATTTTATTGACAGAGCATCGAAAGTGCAGGACGGGAGTGAGCATATATATGACCTGGATGAGAACGAGTGCACGACTTCCTCATGAATTAATCCCTGACGTAACAGTTATGGACTATTAAAGCTGGACGGGAAACAAGACTAATCTAAGTGATTTATATCAAGGAAAATCAAGAAATTTTCAGTATTTCTGACTTGATTTCAAGAGTGGTTACACAAAAGTTACAAAACCGTCACAAACACCTAGAAAGTTGGATGATGAAATTTGAATTGTAACAGCTTAATCCGCTGTCTTTGATAGTACATACACGACATGGAAACATTGAAAGCTTTGGTTCATCGTGACCGAGGACGAACCGACGACGGCCAATGGCTCCTAGTTAATGCAGAATCGGAAAGTACTTCTGGTGAAGAGGTTTTTTTAGCAGCGACAGAAAATTCCTTGAGGCCTCGGACACATTTGGTGGAACCGAGGGCAAAGAGACAGCCCTCTCGAAAGACAAGTTCAACTTCGTCCGAGGGAATTCCGAAGTCAAACGAAGATTCTACCAACAGAACGGAAAAAGTTACGAACGTCAGACTAATGCCACGTTTGACTACAAGGAGAAATGCTATTTGTGATGTGATAGAAAGAGATACGTTTTCGGGTTCCAGGAGTTTGAGAAAGGAAAGAGAAGACTTACTTCGGTGCATAACACTTGGGAACTACTCCCTGTTGTAGAGTCGAAGTATTTGTGCCAGTAATTTTACAACTACGAACCTGGAAAATAGGTTCTAAATATTTTTTTAATAGATTCTAGAGGTTCTTTTCAGTCGTACTAATAATGAAAGAAAACAGTATCACTACGTTGACCTTAAAGTCGTGGGCATCAGTGTCTTCTTTAGGCGATCAGTGGTGCTGATGTTGCAGTACATGATCTAATCTTCAAAATATCTAAAATCTAACGGATTCACCACTCCGAGCACGGAAAGCCTAACTCATTTTGCAACCGACTTGATGAGGCTAACGATAGATCGAATTATAATTTAGAAGCTAATTTTTATTTCCGGGAAGGAGGAGAGACGAGCGCTCTCGCCGATACGCCACCCTTTCTTACTTTGAATTCACTGACAAGTTTGAGCCACGAAGCCTTATATGTCATTTAAAACATGATTCGTTATATTCATTGCATAACAGAAGAGGCATATACTAGTAAGGTTACACAATTTACTCCCCTATGATCGTTCCAAATTTGATCGCCTATATAACTAAATTGAAAGTATGCTTGGAATCCCCTTCGAAAAACGTCTGGAAACGCCCATTAAAAGAAAACCCATAACTAGGCAAGCTTATTGGATGAAAGCCGATCCTGAAAGCCAATGAGGATCAGCAACCACACCTTTTCTAGGACTAAAAATAGACCCCTTGCATGTGACGTCAATGCAGTTCGATCTGGAGGACAAAACGAAAGAATTCCAATATCCTGAGAATTGTAACCTATCGTTTTGTCCCCAGATTGAGCTGCATTCCTAAGTCCTGCAAGGGGTGTATAGAACAAAATTACATGCATTTATATGTATTATTAATCTTCCTAGTTTAATTAAGGAAAATCTATGGATAAATTTCAACCTCACAACGTACAACTCAGACGTCTAAGCCAGTTCCAAACCATACTGTATCGTGTATACAACATAGGATTACTTTTGATAAGAAATTTAACAAACATCTTATAATCTAATGTTGTTTACCATCTCAAGAAAGATCTAAATTTCAACCCAACTTTTACATGATTGTGATCGACATTGAATTGTTTCTGATAGTTTACTTATCATAATCATATTCTAATAATTGATACTGGATTGTATATCTTATAAAAAGTGGCTAGTTCTCTAGTTATGCAAAGACCAGACTTCTTAAAATCGTGGTACATGACACGGTCAAGGTAAAGAAGGGCGACGTACTAGAAGTATCTGTCTATCCAATCAAAATGCTTGTACACATGTCTGTACTTTTTAGGATGTTAGCTGTAACAATAGATTTTTTCTCATGTTTAGCCTCGAATTCGAGCCCTTCAGAATGAGGTTACCCTGGTTTTTTAAACCAATTTTAGAAAATTCATGAAGGAAGCACAATAGGAATCATGACCATGAAGGTGATTTTATATCTGATATAGATTCGTCTTCATTTGCATAAACTTTAACTTGGATTTTCTCTATCAAACTTGGTTCATTTCGTAAAGTATTCAGTACAATATGAAAACATACATCATSAGTTTTCTAAGCCGTTTAACAAACTCGCAGATCGTGTTTTATCGGGTCTAAAACCACTCGGCTGCGCCTCGTGTTTTATACCCGATAAAACATTCCTGCTCGTTTATTAAACATTACGTACATAAAAACCCTGTTGCGAAATGTGCGCATAATTTATCGTTTAGCTCTAGTATATCTCAAACCACAAGGCATCTAATCTACTAAGAGTAAAGTTGATTATATTAATCGTTATTTGGAAGTGTAAAGTGTAAATAATTATGATTTACATACAAACTTGCGTAATTTAAATCATTTGTATTATAGACTAGAAAAATATATAAAGTTGAAAAATCAAAAGTAAAAAGTTAAAAACAAAAGTTTGAAAATTAATCCTTGTGTGACCATAACTCTCCGTATAAACTGCGCACGAGACAAAAGTAACTATAGCTCAATTTTTTCGTACCTAGAGCCCATGCTCCTCTTTGTTCTGGAGTCGGCCGAGAGGGCCCTGGGGACGAGGTTGAGAAACTTGCTCTTCTTTCATTGCTGACCCAGAGGAACGTGGGCTCTAGGTACGAATTAGTCCCTCCATCTTTCGCAGGGGGGGAGGGAAGGGAGGGTGTTAGCACGATAAGCTTTTCTACAATGGCTAATCACGTTCCTAATCAATTTTACAAACAAATTGATTAAAAACAATCGATAACTCTAAATATATATAATAGTCTGCATTTATATAGCACAAATTAGCATTAAAATGTTGAAAGGTAGGCGCTTCACAATTAAAATGATAAGTAAAAGTAAAATTTGAAGCGTAAAAATATTGAATAACGGCTGCTCTTAAAAGTAACAACTAAAAAACATATCCCCTATGCTGACGTTCCAAAATATTTTCAAGCATTAATTCACAAATTCAGCTTGCAGGATTTCCATTTTTCTTTAAGTTTATTCACTTCTTTTTACAGTTGTTAGTCGCGGACTAATGGACCTACCAGTCTAGGACTTTCGCCATCACTTCACTAGAATCGAATCAGTCAGTCATATTTGTGGCATTCTGTGTGTGTTTTATAGGCAACTGTTGATGAAATCTAAACAGTAACTACAAACTCATTAACAACAAATGACACTCGCCGAAAAAAACAAAAAAATAAAATGCTGTTTTAAGAGTTACAATCCTAGATCTCTCGATAGGTGCTTAAAAATCTCGAGTCCAATTGCTTTTTAAGAAAACTTTTTGTTAAAAATGAGGACAAAAACGAGTAATTTTCATCCAAGTTGTAGGGAAAAACTCATTGAAATTTCCCATTATTTGCTTTCTTCTCAACCGTAAACCTGTATAAACAAAAAATCACTTTTGGTAATTTTAGTGTCTTAAGTTCTGTCAACTCAACTGGCCTCGTTGAATCAGATGTTTTATTGTTTCGAAAAATCAAAAGAGAAAGCCATCAAAGTGTCATGCTTGTGATTGGCCTATTTAGTAAGAGTGACAGTCGAGTCCATTTTTCGCCTCAGTTTTCTTTAGCTTTTTCTGATTTTAAGAAATTTAATTTTGCGATTTGAGTTCCTCGTTGGACTCGACGATGCAGAAAAGCAACGGGATTAACGTTAAGACCGCTATTCTCCTGGGTGCTCTCTTCTGTGCATGTAAGTAGTAAAACTTCTCGATATTAGCGATCAAACTTAATCGTTTAAAGTCTTAGTATTGCGTATCAAATGACGAGTACTTTTTAATATATCTTTATCGACAGTTCAAAAGTTTCGTATAGTTCAAAATATCTAGTATTTTCTCCTTTTACTTAAGAAAAACATTTCATTTTCACCGTCTAGCGTTATTCATCAACATCTTACTGAGAAGGACTGTTGTGATTTTAAAATCATGATAACAGAACAATGTATATTCATATATATAATAATTAATACTAGTTTAATGGATCGAATATAGAGTAAAAAGCCTAGTGAAATGAAGCGTTTACTCGATATAACACTTCCTTCGCCTGATTCATACGTAGGTCGATATTTTCGATTCGCTCTTTTGTCGAATCTGGATAAATAATAATATATTGCTCAGCCATTAGACTATCAGACGAATAATTAGCTCCTGGGCCAATTTAACTGTAATTTTTTGTTCTTTTTTCTTTTTTTTTTCTTTCTTTCTTTCTTTCTTTCTTTATTGCTTGAAAAATTAAATTGTAGTATACTGATTGTCGTAACTAACAGAAAATAATGAAAAAACATGTATTTTTTCAATCCTATGATTCAGCATCTATTGTCACTTGCCAAAAGAAATTGAATAGAAATAAATATCATACATTGCCTTTTTATTTATAAAATTTATTAGGGAAAAATTTGGGTTGTTTTTTTCTTTTCTTTTCAAGTCAGGATCATTGAGTGTCGGAGCTAAGTAAAAGCAAGAGAATATTCTCTTGGTAAAAGGTCGTAAAAGGAGTAAAAAGAAAGAAACATATCCTCAAAAATATTTAAAGAACATGCGTAAAGGTAAATTACGAGCCTTGCATGAAACGACTGAAGAAAAGAGCCAATGAGCCTTTCACAACTTCAAGTCGCTTAAAAATCTTTGAAAAGAAAAGGAAAAAATATATTTCTGAAATTATAAGATATTATTGAGAACTGAAATTAGATCTGAGATTTAGTAGAAAATCCAATTCAAATTTACGAGGAAATTTAATATTTATTTGATTTAGCCCGTCAAATTTACTTTGCAATTAGTTCTCGAAGGAGCTGATAAATTAAATGATCCAAACCATCGGTAGTTCATGTATTTTCATGTTTTTTAGTCATGATTATGTTAATAAACAAAATGATTTTTAACTTTAGAAGTGGTATGTTATTTTAGAGGTTGTATCTCATTTGCAATTCGTGACAGTCAAATATGGAATAAACTGAACTGAATTGAATTTCTCTAATATTAATTATCGTGTTAATTGTCTTGTTAGATGTTCCTGAAGCCTATTCTCAACCTAGTTTAATTGTTTAGCATGTTATAAAGAGTCTAACCCAGAAAACATACGTGATTGCATCGCTAGCCATCAAACGTTAGACTGACACGTCTATTTGAGGCTATTACCAGTATAGGGTCACACTACATTAGGCTGTGTTCATAAGATAATGTACATATGGCAGATGGGGGAGGGGGAGGGGGTGGTGGGGGGGGGGGGGGGGGTGGGGGGGGGGGGGTAGGGTGTTTGCTCCCCTACCCCCTACCTCATCTCTCATTTCTTCCTACGAAATCAAGATGGATAAAAAGCCCAAGGTTGTGCTTCATATTCCGATCTAAAAGGAAACTACATTTTTCAGCTGTGAATATATTACATTTTGCAG